GTGACTGCCGATCCTACTGTTCTAGGGGACGTGGTGAGATCTGTTTTGTTAGTTATTAATATAGTTTGATCTAATATACCTGTTCGGTATCCCTTTTGTTCCCTTTTATCCCCTTTTTCCCTTTCCCTATCCCTGCGGGGGGTGGACCCCCTTTTTCTGTGTATATAGCATCTTAACTGTATATAACTGAAATTTGCGTAAATATAGATATATTTTTATATAAGCAGCTTGACTGTGGGTTCTTTAATTTTTATAGTTTCTTTCCCCTTTAACCTAAGGGAAAAAAGGAAGGGGGAAGGGGGCTGCTGTCCTAGCTTTCGAACATTTGGCAAGGAGCCAAGTCCAAACCGTCACAGGATGGTGGCACATAGAACCCAGTGCAGGACAAGGAGGAGCTCTGAGTCCCCTCCAGGGCCCAGCACTGTGTCTGTGGCTGCTCTGCCCCTCTCTCAGCCCTGTGCATGTACCTGCTCTTCCTCACTGTTGATCACCACCAGCTGGGAGCCCATCCCAGTGCAGTTCTGCTCACTCTCAGCCCAGGACATCTTATCAAGGGACAGAAAATAGCAGCTGTTTTGAAACCTTTTCCAGCCCTTTGGGCAGCATATCCAGCCTTGGCCTGTGTAGGGAAAGAACATAGAAATTAATGCAATGAATGCTAGCAACAAGAGACATTGTGATTTCAAAGATCCAAGTTCTCCAGGGACAGTGCTCGTGTTCTCCTAAGTCACTTTTCCTGACAGAAAGTGCTTGAAAAACAAAAAGAGTGCAGATACATTTTTCCTATTGCTTGAGGGATGACCAGTCAGGTTTGTGTATACAATTGGTAATTCTTGCAAGAACTCAGGTCTTGACTAAGTTATTTTGGTGATCTGAATTGTCTACTCCCTGTACAGTCTCCTTTAGGCCTTTAGCCCCAGGAAACAGGGGATATTGCTTCTTTCCCTAACTGGAGCTGCCCTTTTATTACTGCTCCATTGTTAACCTCCCCTGGGCCACTCTCTGCTGTCCCCTTTGTCTGGTCAGAGTTCACAGCCACGCTGCTCTCCAAGGACATCATTAACACGGCCTCTCCTCCCCCTAAGCTCTTAGCAGGAAACCCTTTTTCTCCCTGCTTCCCTCCTCTGCAGTCTGCCTCTCCCCAGTCTGCTCCTGCTGCCACTTGCTCTCAGAGCAGATCTCAGCATTTATTGTCGCCATCCCAAAGACCTCCTGTACCCCTGCCAGCCCTACTGACCTTTGTTTTCTGACACCGCTGAGTCGCACTCCCACGCCGTGAATTTCTCCTGCAGGGCTGTGGGCTGCTTGCCGCTGTGGGAGAAGGGAGCCACTGGAAAGGGAGAGGAAAGGTGGCAGCATTACCCCTTCCTCCTGGCTCCTCACACAGCCTCTCTGGCCTTCACTCCTCTTCCACCATTTCCACACCAAGCATTGTCCCAGCCATCTCCTCTCCTGGCCCAAACAACTGGCGTGGCTGCCTTCCCAGCCACAAAGAGACAATCTTGCTTCTCAATTCTCACACAGCAGAAGGAGCACTGCAAGGACACACCCTGAGGACATGCCACACATTGATTGCAGCACTGAGTGCACCCAACCACAGCCACTCTACCATCAACATACCAACAGCCAAGCTGCCAGTCTAAACCTCTGGACAATGAGTGAATAAAAAGCAGCTCTTCAGTGTCACACTGTCACTGCCTAAACTAGATATCAACAGTAATTTGGAGGAGTAGCACATCAGATGGGCCTGTTCCATTAGCACCAGACAGTGCAGGTGAAGGTAATCATATACAGGTGGATCTGCTGAAACCAGGGTGGAGGGTAAACTCGTAGGACTTCATAGCCCCCAGTTTCTGGGGAGTAACATAGTGTTGGTGAATGGTCACATCCACAACTTGAAGGACTTAGTTCTATTTACTTAGCCTTTCCCAGTGCCCAACCACCGCCAGGATGAAAAACTTTTTCCTAATATAAAACTTAAACCTCCCTTGACTCAGCTTCATACTGTTCTCTTGGGTCACATCACTGGTCATGAGAGTGAAGGGATCTGTACTTCACAATTTGTGCAAGCATGCCATGAATGATCTTTAACAAAAAATGAGAATGAAACAGCGATCACAATCTCCACAAACTGCATGTACAAGAATAACTTTTAATTATTTGATCTGCAATTAACCCTAAAGAGGTGTGAGAGTTAGCACTGTGCAGCTTGTCCTGGAGATGCTAGGACTATGAGAAGCCATGTGTTCCATTAGGACGCAAAGTGTGTCCAAGCACCTTAGAGAGCCTAAGTGCAGATTCAGGTGCCTGTGTAGGCTCTTGTGCTTCCATCTCCACTTTTTGCCCTCTGTTAAATGTAATTAAGTTCTTTTTGTGTAGTATGAAGGCAGAGAATTGGTCTGAAGTTCCAGAGAGGCCAGGCAAGGTGGGAATGTGCAACCTGGGCACACTGAAAAGACTCAGGTAAACAGCGGAAAGTTTGTACGCAGACATATACAAAGTCAGGTCAGGAAAACCTGAGATCTTTACACAAAGCCCAGACAACCGTGCAGTTCTGAAAATGGCTGTGCTTCAAGACTAGAGACCTCCAGAAGCCCCTTCCAGCCTAAGTCTTTTCATAATTCTAAGGAAGAGGGTGGGTATAACAGAACCATCTGGCATAATGCTGGGGTAGTCCTGCCTCCCACATGCCAATGGGCCATAACATCTGGTTTGGCTGGCCTGCAAGAGGGAAGTTTGTGTCATGTTGCAACTGTTTGCTCCTAAACATACTATTCAGATGTTCAGCGTTTGGGTGTTGTGAACTCAAATGCTGGTGCTTGCGTCCTTTTCTCATTACAAAATTGTGCTTGAGTAAAAGTCCCCTCTGGTTGGAAGGTATTCTCCTCTGGGTTCTGATTTCTCTTCCTTTATCCCAGCACTTCCCCCAGACCTCTCTCCTGTAGCCAGCCTGCACATACTCACCAAGGAGAACAACAACAAGGGCAATGCACGTCAAGAGGAGCAGCAGTGAGATCAGCCATGGGAGCCATGGTGGGTATTTCTGGGGATGATGCTCGTGCTTCTTCTTCTCAGGAGGTGCTAAAAGTGAAGGAACACACCAAACAAAACACCATATACCAAGGATGTACTACTCAAGAGAGAGCTCCTCAAAAATAAAAAGCAGTTTAATTTCTGATGTGGAAGTTACACGGCTGGGGAGAAGGGCAGACTGGGACAGAGCAGGGGACCTCTGTGGTTTCTGGAGAAGGTCAAGTCCAGTGACAGTATTCCCGGTTCCAGCCCAACTGATGAACTAACAGTGCTAACTGCAGTTGTCAGGAGGTGAAGCCTTCATGTGGCCTCAAAATCTACAGTGAAACTGTGTCCTTCTAGAATGAGTGCAAAGCTGCCAAATACAAAATTGCTCTATCCATAATACCCGAGACATTCACACGAAGATTTCATGTTGACTTCTTCCCGGAAAACTTTTTGTGCCTGATTCAGTTCCTCCTGAGCTTTTTGGACTTCCTGTGCAGAAGGTTGGTATAAGATGAATGGGGACAGGAGACAAAAAATGTACAATGTTATGATGGCTCATAATCATTGGGAGATTAAAAGCTATATTTTTCCCTTCCATCTCTGCTCTCCAAGCCAGGTTCAGAGATTTGCTGTAATAGGTTCTGCTAGGATGGATTCCTCGGGAGTAAAAAGGGCTGTGTCCAGCAGCCTAAGTAAAGTATCGCACTCAGACTAAGACTTGACAGTACCTGACTTTTGTCTAGGGAGATTTTGCCAGTACTGAAGAGGTTTGGAATTAGACAGGAGAGCGAGTCACAGGGAAGAAGCCATCACTTGTTAGGAGACTGTTCTAGCTTGTGGCAGGTACACAAATCAGAGCAAATAGAAAGGTAGAGAGTGCAGCACTCACTGCAGGACATGAGTAAATAAGTTTTTTGAGAGACTGGCATTAATGATAAGATTTAGAGAGACCTCATTCATTGCTCAGCATATGCCTGCCAGCCATGCCTAATAAGCAAGACTCCCAAAAACCTGCTCTTTGTGGAAGCCTTCTGACACTTCCCAAAGGCTACGGAAGGGCAAAAGGCATCATCTTGCATTATCTGTAGAGAAAACATTCATAGACGGACAAGATC